CGAGCCTTTATCCACTATTGATCCGCTAACACCTTGAGCTACTTTCAGTTTGTCCATTTCATTATGAAAATACCTATCCATCGCCGAACCTTTAGCATCCTTTCTGTTCATGGCTTCCAACGAGCCCATCCCTCTGTACTTTTTTAGACGGACTCCGTCACTGAAAAAATATTCGCCTGGAGCTTCAGATGTTCCAGCCAAGAGAGAACCCATCATAACTGTACTAGCACCTAAGCTGAGACCTTTGATAATATGGCCGATAGACTGAATACCACCGTCTGCTATGACGGGTATTCCAAATTTTCTAGCGTATTCGGAAACCTTATAGACGGCTGTCGCTTGAGGCCGTCCTACAGCCATTACCTCTTGTGTTATGCAAATAGACCCAGAACCCATTCCAACGCGTAACGCATCAGCTCCCGCCTCTATAAGATTCTTGGCTTGCTTCGTAGTCACGACGTTGCCAGCGATCACTTGTAAATTTGGACATTGTTTCTTGATGTACTTGATCATGTCGACCTGATACAATGAATTGCCCTGTGACGAATCCAATACCACTACATCCACGCCAGCTGCGACGAGCAATTCCAATCGGTGTTTATCCGTATCTCGCGTTCCTATCGCAGCTCCTACCAACAGCTGCTTATTCTCGTCCTTGCTAGCGTTTGGATAGCTACGATTCTTCTTCAAGTCTGTCCTCGCCATCAGAGATACAAGTTCACCCCGTTCATTGACGATGGGAAGTTTTCCCTTTTTCGACTTTTCCAATATAACATTTGCCTCTTGCAACGTTACACCAGCTGGAGCAGTGATTAGATCTTCCAAAGTTGTCATTATAGAGCTAAGCGATTTATGTTGATAATTGGGTAAACGTTCGAGGAAGTCGATGTCTCTTGAGGTGACGATGCCTAGCAGCTTACCGCCAACTTTACCCGTGTCTGTCACGGGTACTCCACTAAAACCATGCTCAGCCTTGACGTTTAAAACGTCGTTGACGGTGTGATGTGGTGCCAATACAACTGGATCTCTAATGAAGCCATGCTTGTATTTTTTTACCTGTAAACAAAATAATGTATTTATGTAGTACAAGTTTAAGACTAATTCTACAATAAAAAAAAAGGTAGTCTGTAGTATTAGAAGTTGGCTACTGGCCAACTCTACCGATTCACCAATCCCAACTGACCAACTATCCTTTAGACTTGTTTTCAACTCACCAATTACAGACTACCGACTTATAAAATCAACGTAACATCCAACATTTAATACAGGAATTACGTATAATCAGACGAAACATTTGTACTTTATACACTGCTATGGAAATTCAAATTATACAGTATGCGATCGTTGCGTTGAATTCGTTTTCACAAATACATATCTAAAACGATTATATCGAAGAAGAATATATTACCTTGTGCACTTCATTGGCTTGATATTCGGCGGTACAATTATGATGTATGATGCCGATCCCGCCAGACAGGGCCATAGCTATAGCCATGTCAGACTCGGTAACGGTGTCCATCGGCGAAGACACAAGAGGTGCCTTCAACGTGATTCTTCTTGTTAACGGTGAGAGCAGATCGACCTCATCCGCCGTAAAATCAATGTAACCGGGAAATATGATAAAATCGTTGTAAGTAAGGCCATCACCCGCGGCAAATAGCTGCGCCGCCGACAAGCCATCGTCCGGTAGAGGTACATCCTTTATATCACCCAATACATAATCAGCCATAATTTTCCGTTGAGATTGTCGTCCCTTTATTTTTTAGTCACGTCAGTTGCGAGGAAACGAGCTTCTTTGGAAGAGAGCACTCAGCAGAATACTAGAATACTAAGAGCACGTGTGCTGACGTATGCACTGTTTAGCAGTGTGGACTGTCCACGATGCACGTGCGTTCCAGAGCAATGCTCACAGCACAGTCAGCACACACAGCTCACAGCCGGATCATTCAGGAACTTCAGGAATGTTCGGAATGCGAAGAGTCATAGATATATATAAAATTAGATGATCTTCCTTCTTATGTATCGTATTGCGTATAGTTCGGTATAGTTCTCGCTAAATTGAGAATTAGACACTAGCGTCTCTCAACTTGGAGGGCACACGTATTATTACATTCTCTTCTCCTGTACTATCGGTAAAAGCTTTCATGTTGAAAATATTAATTCCGTTATCTTATTGTGATACAGACAAATAATAACTTACCAGCAATTCGCGTATGTATTATATTTATGATTATATATATATATATA